TATGAAATTTGAAATAAATATTTAACATTAATATAACGAAGATTTCTTTTTAGAAATACCAATATTTCCAATTTATCAGAGGTCAGCTTGCGGCGATAACTGTCAATATCACCAGCTTCACTAAAAACAGATTCTGAAGAGAATCTCGCACACCTTTATAAACAGAATGCGCAAAAAAAATAACAATATGGCAAAATATTTATTAATTAATTATTAAACATAATAATTTTCTTTAATGCATTTTAAATTGATTAAATTTTGTAAATAAATACTGTAATGTAATTTTACTTATATCATAAATAAATAAAAGTAACTAATAAAGTTAAATTCTACCTTATTATAATTATTTTATTAAGAGCCTTTTAAAATTATCTAATATTTTTTATATCAATTGTAGCTTAAATATTTTCTCTAATAAGAACTTGCTAAAATAATTATATATAAAATATATTAGGGATGCGCCGATTTAGTATCGGGTCGGGTCGGGCCGGTTTCACCCATTTTAAAATATCGGTTATCCACCAATATTATAAAATTTGATCCGATATAAAATGGCTTCTTTAACAAAAAAAAATGTTATAAAATTTAAAAAAAAATTATATATAAAATCATTTATTTTTATAAATAAAATCGAAATCCATTTTTATGTATATTTTTTTAATAATAATTATGTATTTAATATTTATAATATAAAGTTGTACATTATTATGATATTTTTTATATATAATATAAAGTTGTACATTATTATGATATTTTTTATATATAATTAATGATTTTGCAAGAAATATATAAAAAAAATTTGAAAAGAGATTTACATGATATTTATATATATGATATTACAAACGCAAGAATTAATAAGTCATATTAGAAAATAAAATAATTTAAATAATACATAAAAATCACAAATAAGTAATGATAAATACTTATTAAAGATAATGAATAAAATAAAACTAGTATATTTTTTTTAGAGATGCCATTTAGCCATATACTCCGAATATAAGCTATATTTAAAACAACACAGAAAATAACCTGCAATTCTAATAAATCATTTGATTTTTTTTTCTTATTTGCAAATTTTCAACTCCCATTAAATATACTACTCTCCCTTCCCTGTTTAAGCTATTAATAGGTAAAAACTAATATTAAAATCCCTGGTTATTATAATTAATTTATTAATAAATATTTTATTAATTATTGCAAATAATTCTTATATGTTTGCTATGTTCTTCACAAATAAATAATAAAAACTGTATTTTATAAACTATTCTAATTTAATTGGTATTTATAATTTAAAAGGATCTTGTTTTTAAGATACTCTAATTTAGTAAAAGATACAAGTATCTTTTTGATATTTTGAAAAAGATACTAGTATCTGTATCTAAGATTCATTTTTTTATAAAGAATCTGTATCTGTATCTAGATTCTTTTTCTGGAGGACCTGCCCAACTCTGTTTATTAACAGATATTTTAACTAGAAGTTCCTCAAAAGTTGTGCCAATTTGTCGTTATAATTATCATCAATATTTCCCACAAATTTCTTCAAAATGTCTTTGAATGCGTTAAGCCATACCCTGCCAAGCAACGAGCCTTTCGTACTCTCCACAATGTAGGCTCCCAAATTTTTAATGTGCCTTAGTAATTAACATCAATATGTGCGATGCCCAGAACTTTTATGGTGTTCCCGTCATAACCTGTTAATTTGATGTGAGATTTCTTCACTTTTTGATGCCTACTTTGTTAGCTACAAAGCGGTATGATTGTGTATCTCGTACCTATATCGTCGTCGCTATACCATAGAGTTTAAGTATCAACTCATAAGCGCTATTTTTTTTGTCATCGAGATTTTTACTCTTTACACTTATGTTTAGTAAATCATAATCTTTGTTTACGTCGTCACTTTTGTCATTTTCGAGTTCTTCGAAATTAATAGTGTTTATCTTGCTACCATCTAGTGTATGATTTTTGTTGTTTTGATTTCTGTTGGTATTGTAGTTGTTGTTATGTGTATATTTTAGTTTGAACCTATTATGATAGTTGTTTCGACAGTCGTATGTTGCTGTTACAATTATTATTTCTATGATAATTGTTTTGGTTGTCACAGTTTGTCTATTGTTATTGTTAAAATAACCACTTTTATAATAATTGTTTTGGTTGTCATAAGTTTGTGTGTTGTTGCTATTAAAATTTTCGTTGCTATAATAATCGTTTCGACCATCATAAGTTTGTATTATTATTACTAAATTTTCCATAGCTATGTTGATTGAAATCACCATAATTTATTTTGTTCCTTTGATGATCATAATAGTAAGGTCTGTAATAAATGTCGAATTTGCTTTGATTGTTGTGTCTGTTGTAGTTCTGGTAACGTGGTATAAAGTTGTAGTTTTGGCTATAAAATCTTCGGGTGTCAACATGTGGTCGTGGAGCCCACTAATGAACATATTCCCTTTTTTTCACAAGGTAACGAGTAACGGTTATGTGTTCCTTTTTTCAAAGGTAACGAGTAACGCGTTTGATTTTGAAGTAACGTTTGCAACACTAATATTTGCTGATTGTAATAACTTTTTTAGATCCTGATGTAAAGGCTTTAGATTGATTCCGTAATTTGAAACCTTCATAGACAATCGTAAGCTTTGAATAACGGGGCCATATTTAAAATTGATTATATTGTCATTTGAATTAATAATAATATAAAATGACGGTTATATCACTCTCATTCATACTGGTTAAAAAGGATTTTCAACAGTCAAACATTTTAATAAAATTTACAGGCGAAGACATCAATTAAATAAAAATATTAAAATTTATTGTCGAATATATTTTTTTTTGACAAATTTTAGACCGACATTCTGCTCCTTTTATAATATATTTCATATTTTAAAAAAAATCTGATTATTTTGTGAAATACATTAGGTTTGAATATGAATAATTCATACTTCAACTCTTTATGATCCTTAGAGAAGCATGATTCAGAACCTCATATCGTTAAACAATCTTTATATATTAATGGGAGAGAATTCACAGGCAATCAAATTTAACCCATAAGCTCTCACCCGTCGGTCTAATACAACTTATATCCCAAGGTATTACACAGTGGAGTATCCTTCTAACGCAGAACAACTTTAGAGACTTACAAAAGATAACATTTACTAATAGCACTGCAAATAAAGGCCAATAAATTAAGCCTGAAATCTGAAAAGAGGAACATAATGAGTTAGGACAAAAACTTGACCCCTCTAGAAGCTCAAGTAAAAATAGTGATGGAGGCCAAAAGAGTTTGGCAGTGGATTAATACTCTAATAACAATCTATTTCGACTGGCTACCAAAAACAATTATAAAACAAGAATTAAGATTCAAATGCATCAACCCATATTACTTAAGGGATGAACGAAAAAATAAAAACAATTAATATGGAAAATGTTTGCTCATCATAAAAATCTCATCTCATTCATTATACACGATGAAAAAATCTTGTTATAATATCGATATGTTTCAAGTCTTTGTTATATTTTGGACAATTTTAAATATGTTAAATCTTCACTAATTGTAATCATTGAATATTTACTTGTATTTAATATAAAATTGCAAATAATATATCATTATTTGTTTTTATGGTATTCCGAGATCAATTTTTTGTTTTATTAATTCTGACTCTGTAAATGATTTTTTTTGTTTTCCCACGTATTTTCAAAATAGAATTGATATTATAATTTATTATGCATAACATTCCGTCTAAAATCAAATAAGTAATTAAACACATCCTTAGCATATTTCATGTCCACATAAAGTGATTACTCAAAAAAAAAATTGTAATTACAGACCTCCAATAAACACATTTTTATTGGCCTGGCATAAATCCAACATAATATTTTCCGGCCTGGCCCTTAAGTTGATAAAATTCCGGTCTACCGGCTTTTATTTCCGTATCATTATTATTCCGACCTCCGGTTTGAAAAAATTGGTTTATAATCCAAATCTGCAGATCTCTATTATCGGTAGAAAATCTTGCATTGTTGCGCTTTTAAAAGCAATAATAGCTTTCAAGAGAAATCAATTTTTCAAAAAAGATCTTATAAAATTTATTCGAGTTTCAAATTTAGGAAATGACGTTTGTTTACAATAGGGTTCTAATTCCATTTTTAGTCAAATTATTCTGGTTTAAGAAGCCCTCCCCTTAAAATTTTAATTATGTTATATTATAATCATTCTTCTATAAGGTTGGTTCCGTTTAATGCTCAAATATCTTTAGCAAATCGCATCATTTTATTTTAAAAAAATTCCATACAATGGCATATTTATAAAAGTAGTTATTTTGTTATTATCCATATTATATGAATAATAACAGTGCCACAGAAATATTATTTGCAATAAAATTAATCTGTAGTTAAGGCAAAAATTCAAAATAGTTATCCCTAGAACGAATTTTAAACTTTATTATGAAATGAAGAAAATAATATAAACAAAATATGGCCACTAACATAAGATGCATTTAGTGAATTGAGTCTCAGTATGACTTTTATATTATTCCCTTATTGATGTAAATCCAGAGTTATTTTCTAAAGATTAGATTGATATTATATAATTTTAGAAATGCATTGATGTTAAAATATTAAATTTGATGACAGTTATTCATTTTTTCTATATAATAATATGGAAATTCATTAATTATTGATGAACTTGCACGTTATTATCTAGAAAAAATCAATGAGATGTTGTCATATTTTGTAATACATTTTAATTTATATAATGCATAAAGCAATTATAAAACTAATAAATTTGAAATATTCGTTGTTATAAAATAAACTTGACTGATCTAACAAATCCCTTATGACAACTAATCCTGGCTTTGACTAATTTTGTTCGAATGTTATAAAAAGATTTATTTTAGTGATTTATTATATTATAAATAAATATTCGTACAAAATATGTGTATTAAAATTCTTTTTTTTAAAGATTATAAATTAATATATTATATTAAAATAAATAATAAAATAATTTTTTTAAAAAAATAAACCGTATTTGTTAGATGGTCCCGCGTTATTTAGGTTTAAAAAAAATATCTATTTATTTTTTTACCAATTGAATAGACGAGATCTTAAAAAGAAATAATTTTTTTAAAAAAAACTTAAAAGGCGAAGGCGCGAAAAAATATTATTAATTTCAGCGAGGCTATATAAAATATAAGAGTTGATTCGTTTTTTCCCCTTACATTTCCTTATATGAGTCCAAAACCTTTGGCGTGGTTAAGGGCTTTCAAAATTCGATCTTTTAATTTTTTCTCGGAATCGTACTCTGGTAGTAAGAAATAGTTGAAGCACGTATGAGCGGTGGGAAGTCTAGTTTATACGCGGGCGTGATATCGTTAACAGGAATTTTTTTTATAAAATTATTTATATAAAAAATAACTTTAAAATAAGAAAAGTGATGGAAAGTAGTGTGGTTAAAAAGTCGAGTTCTTGCGACTCGAGTCGTAAGAAACGGCTCCGACTTAAGCCGAATGAGCCGACTCACTTAGTCGGCGCATGTAGTGGGCTCGTGTATTCGACTCGTTGGGTCTGCTCAATTTTTTTTTAAATAAAATCTGGTAAATTGTTAAATTTTGGGAAAATGATTAATGTGAACAAAAATATAATAAGAATATGTTGTTTTAGTTTTTCGTATTTTTTGGCATAAATGGGCTAAAATAAGTATTGCTAACATGTTTAAATAAAATTTTAATGAAGATGTACTCTAGATAAGTGATTATTGTCATAATCGTTGTTTTTAAAGTTTTTCGAATTTTTTTGACGTAAATGGGCTATAATAAGCATTCCTAACTTGTTTAAATAAAATTTAAGTTAAGATGTACAGTAGAAAAGTGACAATTGTCATAATCGTTGTTTTTATTTCGAATTTTTTTGACGTAAATGGGCTAAAATAAGCATTACTAACATGTTTAAATAAAAATTTAGTGAAGATGTACCCTAGATAAGTGATTATTGTCATAATCGTTGTTTTTAAAGTTTTTCGAATTTTTTTGACGTAAATGGGCTAAAATAAGCATTGCTAACATGTTTAAATAAAATTTTAGTGAAGATATACAGTAGAAAAGTGACAATTGTCATAATCGTTGTTTTTAAATTTTTTCGAATTTTTTTGACGTAAATGGGCTAAAATAAGCATTGCTAACATGTTTAAATAAAAATTTAGTGAAGATGTACAGTAGAAAAGTGACAATTGTCATAATCGTTGTTTTTAAAGTTTTTCGAATTTTTTCTTCACTAAATTTTTATTTAAACATGTTAGCAATGCTTATTTTAGCCCATTTACGTCAAAAAATTCGAAAAACTTTAAAAACAACGATTATGACAATTGTCACTTATCTAGATTACATTTTCACTAAAATTTTATTTAAACATGTTAGCAATGCTTATTTTAGCCAATTTACGTCAAAAAAATTCGAAAAACTTTAAAAACAACGATTATGACAATTGTCACTTTTTTACTGTACATCTTCACTAAAATTTTATTTAAACATGTTAGCAATGCTTATTTTAGCCCATTTACGTCAAAAAACTTTAAAAACAACGATTATGACAATTGTCACTTATCTAGGGTACATCTTCACTAAAATTTATTTAAACATGTTAGCAATGCTTATTTTAGCCCATTTACGTCAAAAAACTTTAAAAACAACGATTATGACAATTGTCACTTATCTAGGGTACATCTTCACTAAAATTTATTTAAACATGTTAGCAATGCTTATTTTAGCCCATTTACGTCAAAAAACTTTAAAAACAACGATTATGACAATTGTCACTTATCTAGGGTACATCTTCACTAAAATTTATTTAAACATGTTAGCAATGCATATTTTAGCCCATTTACGTCAAAAAACTTTAAAAATAACGATTATGACAATTAGTGAAGGTAAACGGTCCGGTCCTATCGGTCTTAGACCGGGATCGGACCTGACCGATCTTTTTCTTGAGGACCGTAATCCGGACCGGTCTTTTTAATTTTTACGGTCCAGACCGCGGTCCGGACCGGTCTTTTATTATAGTTTAAGTTTGCTTTACTAAACAATTAATATAATTTTTTTGTATATTTTATTCTATGATATTTTTCTAGAGGAGTCATTTTAGATTTTGTTAATTTTTATATTACAATATGAAAACCATAAGTTTGTCCAAGAAACATTTTACTTATAGTCCCAATAAAAACATAGAGTATGTGTTCACTGCAGTACCAAATTTTATGTATCGTCAGCACCTAGTAACAAAATAATTGTTTATAATTTTTTAAGCAATAAATTAATCAAAATAAGCAATAATATTATTAAAATATTTTAGTTATTAGTCTGTATAATTTATTGTAAAAATTACTTAACCTTATTCTTAATAAAATAATTAGGTACCTTAAGCAGACATCTGATAAAACATAAAATATAAATTCTAATGATGAAAATGAAAATATCTCAAAAAACACAATGTACTCTTAATTTTAATATGCCCTCTACTAGCACAAAATCATTTTTTTCAATACCATTGGATAAATTTTATTGTTTATATAATACTCTTATATTTAATAAAATGATAAAACAAATCAAATTAGGTTAAAAAAATATGTTTTTTAAACAAATAAAAAGACCGGTCTTTTTATTTAAGATCAAGGTCTGGATCGATCTTTTTCTTAAGGACCGTAGTCCGGTCCGGTCCGAGGGTATCGGTCTAGTCCGGACCAAAGACCGGACCGTGACCTTCAATGACAATTGTCACTTATCTAGGGTACATCTTCACTAAAATTTTATTTAAACATGTTGGCAATGCTTATTTTAGCCCATTTAAGTCAAAAAAATTCGAAAAACTTTAAAAACAGCATTATTATAGTTTTGTTCACATTAATCAGTTTCCCAATTAGCAATTTACCAGATTTTATAAAAAAACAAAAAAATTGAGCAGACCCAACGAGTCAAATACACGAGCCGACCAATGCGGCTCATTTAGTCGACTCGAGTCAAAGTCGTTTTTTCGACTAGAAACTAGGCTCAAGTCGCAGCTAAGTCGACTCGGCTTAGCCGTTTAACAACACTAATGGAAAGAATGGAGAGAAATAAAATAATTCATAGCCTTTTAAGTTGTATGATTGGGTTGAGAGATGCATTTCAATGGTGGTAATGGGAAAGGCCGCAAAGAAACCCAAAGAAGACGTGAATAAAAGTGATAACGTTTGATATGAAAATAACCGGTATTACAAATTAAAAATGCTCAGGACAATAAAAAAGTGGAGTAAAGGGTTTAGAGGAAAAACTGTACCTGAGTAAATCTGGAAAACCGCTATTAAACACTGAATGAAGTAAAAAATATAGTTGATGTAATTATATCTGCAAAGATATTTGTTTTAATTTACTGGAATATTTTGTAACATTCAATTTATTGATTCAGCGGTATTATAGTGTCTTAAAATTCATTTGGATAAATTGATTCAGCAGAGGAAAAATTGTTCAAAATATTATTATAGGCCGAGCCGAAGTTTTGAAAATGTTTTTAAAGTTAATAATGAGATAAATCTATGTCGTTTTCCTTCATAAAAAATTAAGGGGCATTTCGGGCAACTTTGCAAAATATATTTTATAGACCTGGACGAAAAATCTGATGGAAAATTTAATAAATTGAATTGTTAATGTGTGGTTATGAGGAGCAATATTAGAATATCCCACAATTCACCGCTCTTCATAAACTCGTAGTGATTTTTTTTCGAATATGCAAAATATTTTAAAAATGATATTTTGTAATATGAAATGACAGGTATCAGGTATAAGTTTGTAAATGATCTGAAATTATATAACTTCAAATATAAATCTTTACAAGGTAAAATGCTATAATTTGTAGCAAAGTTTTTTGAAATAGATTAATAACTTTTCACGTGATTTTACGCGCTTCAACGAAATAATTGAAAGTTTAAAAAAAGGAACTATAGAAGAAATAAAATAATCAAAAATAAATTAATAATTGTTTATATTACCTATCAGAGTCGGGTCCTTGCCTTGATATGATCAATTTAAGGTTAGCAAGTCCTCCCAAGGGAACCCTATCACTGCCAGTGGCAAATTTTAGCAAGGAACATTTTTGGTTGGTATCCATACCATGAACCGTGTTCCAAAAATATCTAAGAATGATTGTCAAAATATTACTTAGTAGATATATTAAACAAATTGTAAATCAAAACTGTATAAAAAAAATCGTTACTATAAAGGCTTAATTAGCACGTACTAAATTTTGTAAAAAAATTCAATTTTGTCAAACTGACAAAAATAAAAATAGTATATTATAATGAATATTAAAGCTTTAATACACCAAGAAACGAGATCTTTCCTTATTTATTCAAATCTTTGTCCTATATTAGTAAACTAGATTTCCTCATTTGAAAACCAAATTTGTCCATTTCGAGAAAAAAAAATCAAATATTCTTTAAAAACTGGCTCGGATTATGTTATTCGTTAGAGTATATCTGTGGAAAATTATAGCTATAAAAATTGTTTTCCTATTCTTCCTATTCATTTAAAACATGCCCACAAATAAATTCTAGCTCTTTAAGTAGGTCACAATTAGCGTAAGGCATTTTTGAGAAATTAATTTAATTTTTAATATACTAAAAAAATTAAGAAATTTATATATACCTTAGGTTAAAATTGGTACATGAGGGATATTAAGGTTAAATTAAAAATTACTCGATAACCGGAGTTTCCCTCGTGTAGCCTCCCTCATAGGTTGTGGCTTTTTCCAGATCATTGAAATCGTAAACCTTTATAAGTTAAATAAATATTATGTAAAGATTTTTCTTAAAAAAATGATAATAAAGAATGACATATATTAATAAAATAAAGTAAAATTTGTAGCACAGTGTCCTTATCAAAAGGTAAAGAACAAGGAATAAACGGATTGAAATGATTTAATTATAGATTTGTAAAGCTCTCACCTACACATTTAAACTTAAAATAAAATGAATAACAGTATCTCCGCAGATAAGTAATTCTAGTTCGGATGGAGTGAAAAGTCTGTAGAGTGGCGATTTAGAATCAATCACCAAATCGAAGCCCCTTTTAAAAGCTGAGAATTGTTCTTCCACGCATGTGTTTAGCAGGTAATGAGCGTATAAGGCCGCGTATTCCTTTTGCAAAGAAATAGTAAAATCTTCTATAATATTATCTGTTTTTAATTCAATCTTATTTCTCATTATTTATCAAAAAAACTGAATAGAATACTACGTTTTAACTGGACAAATTTTAGGCTTAACTGCCACATAGTTTAAATAATGTTAAAATAAGACACTTTGGATATTTGCCGATCCTTTTATATTATTTCTATTAGATCTCATGATTTATCTCTATTGGTTCTAATAATACCTACTAGGGTGAGTTTTATAAATTATATATAATATTTGGATTAGCAATCAGACTTATTGAATCATACTTCTCTATTTTCATTGTCTACTGTAATGGTATCCCCGTTAGGTTTAAGCATATGTTCCACCATGTTGCCATACATGTCCTTGACGCAAATCTTAAAATTAGTTCCGAATATGTCTTCGACTATGTCTCCTTCGTGTTCTAACAAACGACACAGCCCTTGATATAATTCCTGTAGTCCACAAAAGGGAAATTTTATAATTCATAATGTTAGATTCGTCATCTATTCAGTTAAATGTTAATAATCTTACCTTTTCTTGTAAAGATGAAAATTAGATTATCATATGATTAGGGAATCATTCGCTTCCTCTATCCCCCCCCCCTCCCGAAAAAAAGGAACAAACAGCTTAAAATTTTTGCATTTATATGGTGTCTTTTATGAATCAGAGTTTTGATGAAACCTTCTCTTGAAATTTAAAGAAATTCTCTCTTTTTAAATTTTCATGAACCTAGCTAGATTTATAAATATTTTTAAAACTTCAAAATTTTGCGTGATATATTTTAGAGGATTTAGTATGTGTTTACATTTATTTTTAGATGTGTTAAATCTAAGAAAAAACTTAATTCATTTTAAAGTGACAATATACAAGAGTATAAAAGGAGTGAAACCCTAATTAGGGAGGTCAAAATGTTATAAACAAATTCCCTTTAAAATAAAATAATTTTACGGGATAAATTTGTTGAAGGTCTTCTAAAGTCCCTGGATTTCCGTATAATTTGCTGTAAAGAACGGGTGGAAATTTTATGTCCAATATGATCCCGTTGTAAATAGCTAAACCGATAATGGTACCTTGATAATAATTTTTTAAAAATTGAATAGAATTAAATGTTTTTTAGGCATATTGAAAGTTAATAAAAATTTCTAAAATCAAGGAGTGAAAAATGTTCTATGTAAAAAGGTTAAGGTTACTAATATTTAATTAAACTATAATTATTTCTTTTTTTAAAATTTCTTTCTATTTTAATAAATTTGAGCAAATATTTTGATATTTCGTCGGTTATGCGTTTTTCTTGCCTAAGAAACTGTTAAATAAAACATCACCCTTTATGCCTATAAACTTTTAAAATATAAACTATTTCTAATAAAATTTTATATTAAATTTTATCAGATATTTTTTGATACTTAAATTAGGGCAGAAATTTAAAATTATATTTCCTGTCTTTGTACAAAAAAATTAAATAATATTTAGTGTAGGTAAAAATCGGGCATGGTAAATTAATGTTTAAATTGATAAAAGTATTTAAAACTTTATTTTATTTCATTAAATAATAAGGGCCTTACCCAGTAGCATATTTCTGCAGTGTGAGTAGGAAAGATATCATATATTATTTATAGTAAGAAAGACTTGTTAAGAATAAGCATCGTGCATAAGTTCTAGTAATATTTTAAAGTTATTAATTCACCTATCAAATAATATTCGCTCCAGTTTTCAAAGGGCTGCGAATTGAACCAAAAGCATTGTGATCCTTGCTCATAGACAAACATACCTGGATTTATTAAAATTATTCGTTTTTAAAATTTGAGGTTTTGTCAACAATCTTTCTTTCTTCTTTCTCATTTCGTGTCATATGAGCAAAAAAATGAGATTTTCGGCCAACTCCTCAAAATTGTAAACACGTTATATATGTTCTAGTAATACCTGAATCGAAATTTTAGCTCATTAGCAATTATATTACCCGAGATAATAAGGACGGAACCCGGCCCCAAAATTTTTTTTTAAAAAAATTTACCGACCGGACATGGCCCGAATTTATTTAAATATAGAAATTAATTATAATTACTCAAAATAAAAGACATATGTTATATGTCGTTTAGTTTCAATAAAATATTTTAATTTTACATAAAAAATTCAATATAAATTGATAAATTTAGATATATTTAAAAAAATTTCCAAGGTCCGACCCGACCCAAATATTTTTTAAAATATTAGGCCCGGCCCGAATATTTTTTAAAATATTGTCCGAATATTTTAAATAGAATTAGGCCCGAGTTTGGCCAAGCCCCTAACTTTGCAGATCTTTAATATAAACAATGCGATTTCTGTCAGAACTTTCATCTATTGCTCCCTCACGTGAAAGATTATTTACCATATAATTTTAATAACATTTTCTAACTAACTGTTCCACCTTCATGAGAAATATTATTTACAGACTATTATATTAATTTCAACAACAATGTATGTTTTGCCTTCGTTGAGGAGAAGAAGAAAATTATATATGTATATGTTGCAGATTATTTATTATTGTTTATATACAATTACTGTATTTGGAACACATTTGTAATTTATTACTAATATTAATTTCAGTCTGACACATAAAATGTTATTTGTTTAAGAAATTAATCCAATTTGAAATGAAAAGTAAAAAAAAGCCTTAATTTGGGTGCAGATTATGATAATAAATGGGAACCTAAGCCACATCTCTTCACCCGGCCAAAAGTCGGACCTTTGACACGCAATAAAAATATCTTGCAAAATGTATTCGAAGAAGTATTTATATTTATATACTTTTTTTGAAAGTTTTTTGTGGGTATTTTGTATTTAAATTTAAAATACTTTTAAAAAGTATTTCTATTTGTATTTATATTCAAATAATCTTTTCAAAAGTGTATTTATATTCATATTCGAATACAATATTTTGAAAATTTGTCCAATCCTTTCTGTAATGTATTTACTCATAGATTACATAATTTAAGAAACATTCATTTAAATAGCCTTTATATATTCTATTTATTCACTCAAATATGTCTTTTTTTTATTTATTTTACTTAATTAGATAAAATGTACGAAATTAGAGATAAATGATAATAAAGATTAAAAAACATAGCATGCTTTTTGGTTTTCTAATCAACGGTAAACCATCTGTCTGGTCTGGTATAGGAAGAATTAGCTATTAATCTGATAGTAACGAATCCCCACAATTCGTCTTAGCTCTTTATATAAAATATGAACTATTTGTTTTATTATCCTATATCTAATTTCGTGTGGTTGTGGTATAAATATATTTTATATAATGAATAATAAAAGACTTAGAGTGAATGAACAAAATATACAAGTAAATATAATACATTGTATTTTTAAGAAAAAAGCCTGAAGATGATTTGATAGTTTTGGCTAAATTTAGTCTTTTTTTAGCTGACTTAAAATTATGTTAAAAAGCTTTAAAAAAGAGGAATCTCCAAAGTATAATAAATGAATAAATATAAATGGCGGTATATTATAACCGTAATCTTGGTTGAATATTTGTTCGATGATTAATTGGAAAAATTCTTTCGAAAGACCTCCTTGATCGTGACCTGTTTCATCTTCGAATTCCACAATCAGTTGTTTTTTCAAGTGTTCTGGATTTTCTTCGACTATAATCTCAAGCTAATTTATAGGGCAAAAATATATAATTAAAAAATAAGGTAAGAACAAATAAAATTTAAATATTCAAAAAATTATAATAAAACAAAAACATATTTAACCATTTCGGATATAAATCGAGCTATGGTTAAATTTTATTTAGGTTATAAAAAGTGAATCAAAAATATTATATACACTTTACAAATCAGTAAAAAAAAAGAGCGACTCAAATTAGGTCAAAAAAATACTTAAATTTTTTTAAAATTTTAAATGTTACGTTAGACAATGAATCTTGAATCAAATGGGTACGCCTGACTTTGAATTTGAGATAGGGAGGTGTATAAGAAAACCCTTGTAACAAATTCTGTAGATAAACTACCCTTCGTTCATCGTACATACGTATTCTGTTGTCCAAGTGTAAGGCTTTTTTTAAAAAATATAGTATTTTATGATTCATTTCTTTTCTCACTTTCTTTAATTCATTCAGTATTTCTCTTTCACGCCTTTTTTCATTCATTCATTCTTCGTTCTTGAAAATAAATTTAAAATTTGAAAATGGTTATTCGCCGTACATGGGTCAATAATCTAAGAGGCTTTTTACAAATATAAAAGTTTTCTTAAAATTAACTTCTTATCCTATCTTATCTACTTTACTTTAATTTCATTTATTATATTTATTTTCTTCCGATATTTTCAAATGAAACTTTATTTTAGTAAATTAGCGAACACCTTTTTGCTTGAAATTGGTGGACAAGAGATAGGGATGGTGGAGAAAACAAAATTGTTCGCTATTTTTGGGGAAACGAAAATCTAAGTAGTCCCTTTCTATGATGAGTACGCGTTCAAGGTGCGAATTAACGAAAGCCTCAGGTTTGAGCAAGCCATTTTTGACCGTGGAAATGCTAAAATTGGGATACGTTTTAGATAGTCTAGCCTCGAGCTTATTAGAACGACTTTGGATGGGAGAACTCAGATCCTTCCAAATCATACCTTTTGATAGTTATAAAAATGACAAGTATCAAAATAAGATGCCTGCAAACCCCAACTAAACCCACCCGATAAAAAAAATTCGGATGGGTGGGTTCAGGCTCGGGTCTTATATTTACAATTTGAAATTTAAACAGATATATGAATAAATCATGACTTGATTGTATAATATTCAATTGGGTTCACTTTATTTTATAAATCACACTGAAAAATAAATAAATTTTTTTTGTACAAATAAAAAAAATGATTCAGTTATAGAATGACCATATTTAAGATTTTTTAAATTTCATCACAAATGAAAATTATCTATGATAGAATTTATAAATTCTAATCATTACTTATCAAATGGGCGTTCCTGGAGGTGTTATTAATGTGTTTCATCTCCTTTCCTGTCAAATCCCCGGATTGGTTGTCGGCCTTTTCTTGCACTACCTTTTTGACGCAAGTGTAATGGGTAACGGTCACATGACCGACCAGTAACGAGGCGCAGTGGAAAATCTCCAAAACTCCCACGACATTTTTAACGATCTTGTCATCATTGACATAACGCTTGCCTTGGTAATTTTCTTTTTTTGTGTACATGTTAAAATCACGAGATAATTTAATGCAAAGTAAATTGAAATTTGACTTTAAACTTATTTAAAAATATAGTCCATTGGATAGATCCTAAACCATTATGATGAAGATTTGCTTCATTAGCTTTAAAAAGACAATTAGCTGCCAGATTTATGTACTTGAATTGTCATATTAATTTAACAGAATCCAAAGGGCAAATAAATAGGCTAATGGAAATATTGATTATTCGTATACTAATCAATGATACAATAGACAATACATTTAGAAAGTCACCCACTTGTTAGTGTTTAGCGATTATTTAGTAAGGTAAGCTTATATTTTCTGATCGTTGTTCTAGACTGGGGATTATGATATTAAAATGCAACAAAAATAAAGTCTATATTTTAAATATTTAGTCATAATTTTATGCCAATATTTTCTACATATTTGAATATGAAATGTTAGATTATACATATATTAGATATATAAATTTTTTTATAAAGTAGCGTAAAAAGTAGCGAAGGCCACTTTTTAAAAAGATAGCTAATAGCGTGTTACTTTTTTGTCAAATAGCGTTAGCGGTGACGTACCACTTTCTAAATTGGCGTTTAAAAACACAATTATTAAGACAAAAAAGAACTCAAAATTTAAGGCCGGGCAGGAATTTTTAGAAAAATTTCGTTATTTTGAATATGATTTTGTAAATTATTTTTAACGGAAATTAAAAATATAAGGAGTAAGTAAATATAACGCTCCATTATACCATTTTCTAAATGATTAATTGATATCATTTAGATTATTTTTAAATTGGCCCATTCCGGGTTAATTTACTTGTAAAATATTTAGGGTACGGACTTTTTTCCGGGTTTGCAGGTCAGTTTCCAATTAACTAGAAAAATAAGTAGCGCGGAAATGAAAGAAAAAGTTTTTATTTAAATATTAAATTTATAATAAAAAATAACTTAAGTAATTAAATTTCATTAATTAAAAAAGTAACTAAACGCTACTCATTAAAATATGCAGCTAGTATTTGCTATAGATACCAAAAAAATTAGCTACTGGCTGTATTTTAGTACATTTCAGCCACTGCAACGAGATTTAATTCTTAGATAAAATAATTAAAAAATAAATAATGTATCAACATTTTATCCTTTTTAATAAATTTAAGAATGCGTATTTAATTAAAGTGTAAGGGAACGCCCAATAAAATTATTGTAGAGGCGATTCACTGTGAATATTTAGAATGAGAGGCTAGCACTAGCAATGGTCAATAAGAGCTAAAGATGTTGAAGTGTCCAATTTTTATAGATAATATTTTTTTGGTTTTTTGTTCGTTTTATTTAAAAAAAATATGTTTTTCTAAAATCCTTTATAGCATTCTTAACCTGGCTTAACATCTTTATAGAACTTATAGGTTTGAAAAGTTTTTTTCAACCCTGTTTTTTTGGCAGCTTTCAAGTTTGCTTTGTGATACTTAGAGCTCCTAAGCCAATGAAGATATCGAATACTTAGCACACCCCTCTTCCTTCTTTCTATATAAAAATATGGGAATCCAAATAAAAATTTACAAAAAAAGAAATTAAAATTATCAAAAAGGTAATTAAAATTAGCATAAATTCTATTTCCTTTAGATTAATTTTGAGCTTTTATTCTAAAGACAATAGATAGTGTCTTACAACTCCTTACCTCCCTCCGTTTTCAATGACAATCTTGCGTCATAACCCACCCCCTATCCAGCGGTAGAAGTACCCTCCAATCTTGGATTACTGATTGGAAGCAATTTAAAATGAAGGAGTTGTTAAGCAATTAATTTCTTGTTTTTTTTATTGACTTATGGTCAAAACGACGAATCTTTTTATTATATAAATATATATATATTGTCTCAAATACCCAACAATAATTCCACAATTTCTTTTATTTCATAATAATTCCACAATTTCTTTTATTTCATAGTCACATGATACAATTCTAAAAAGAACTAAGATAAAAAAAATGTTTTATCTCACTTATTCGAAATCACGTCCATAAATGTCAATTATATATCAAAAAATATACAACGAAAATATGGACGGTTTAGATTGGATTACGCATTTATCATTTAAAAATTAAAACCTTTATCGATTTTGATATCTATGATGGTCTGCAAAGCGCTGACTATGATGGACATGTCCTCAAAGTTGAAAACCGACGCAAAAATGCCTGTCAATCTTTATTTTTATTTTTAAAAAATAATGGAAAATAAGAAAGATTTACATAATTTAGCATTATTCGTCTACGGAACTCAGTTAGAAAAGATAAGGCTAATATAATTATTCTATTTACCTTACTAAATCTTTGTTTATTTTTCTTAATGTTTAAATTCACACTTTATTATATGACTTGTTTAAATAACGAATATATTTCTTAACCTATAAACTCACAATGTATCTAATTTTCTCTTTATTTTTTCAAAATTCACAAAAATTAAAAGTAATCATTTTTCATATAAAATAAAATATATTAAAATAAAAAAATAATAATAAATTATCAATTTTTTTTAAATATTATAAACATTTTTTTTTCTAATATTATAAACAAATGGCTTATAATTATTCATGATCGCAATAGGTCATCCTTGCAATTCCCCACGTAGGAATTCATCCACCTCGGTATCAGTCATCTCCACTAATTAACTTAGCATTTTCAACCTTGCTTTCTTCTACGCGGGCTACCACCGGTATCGCTGTTTCCACCCTTTCCTGATTGGGACAGAATGCCCGAGATATTCTTGCCAGCGGTGCAGTCCTTCCCAACAAGAAGTGAACGCAACCCAGTCCGAACGTATTATTTCTGCCATTCAAGAGATCACTTGCAAGATCTATATTCCCGTGGACCGCTAAGGCAGGTAGAGCTGTGCAGAGATGATAGACAGCCGGTACGAACAATTCCAATTAATAGACAGCCGGTACGAACAATTTCGATGGCTCGATCCATGACGACCGTGGCAGAGGAAAGGGTTGAAACAGCGACACTGGTGGTAGCCCGCGTGGAGGAAAGCAAGGTTGAAAATGGGAACCACCCAACTGGTAAAATTGGAGATGACTGATATCGAGATAGTTTCTATCTGAGGAATTGATTCTTTTTGCAAGGATGGCCTGTGGTGATCATGAATAATGATAAGCCATTTGTTTATAATACTAGAAAAAAAATTGTTTATAATATTAAAAAAAATTGAAAATTTATTATTATTTTTTTATTTAAATATATTTTATTTTTATATGAAATTTATTTTTTATAAAAAATGATTACTTTCAATTTTTGGGAATTTTTAAAAAATTAGGATAATATTAGATACATTGTGAGTTTATAAAAAATAAACAAAGTTAAGTTTTAGAGATTGTGACTGCGACATAAGACTATAATAGTACTTTGTTTATTTTTCTTAATGTTTAAATTCACACTTTATTATATGACAACTCTTGTTTAAATATTGAATATATTTCTTAACGTATAAACTCACATGGATCTAAAAGTAATCATTTTTCATAAATAATAAATTTTATACAAAAATAAAAAAAATTTTTTCTAATATTATAAACAAATGGCTTATCATTATTCATGATCACAACAATAACCATTGAAATAATAAACAATTCTATTATAAAAATTTTCAATAATTCAATTATGCAGTAATTGACCCAAATTATAGTGCATGATTATATTCTCTTCTCAGCATATTACACCCGTTTCCTTAATCTAATTCAATTTTTTTTATGAAGTGTAGAAGTACTTTGATAGAAATAACCAAAGAAGTACTATCGACGCCATTTTTTAGCCGATACCTAAACTAATAAGTTTAGCATTTACCCACACTGATGACTCGTTTATCAAAATGTATGTGAAAGTGTCGTTCAACAAAAATCAGCTGATGATACGCCATTTTGGTTTCCCATACAATATTTCTATTGTAATTGAAATTCTGATATTTGTAAATTGTTTTTTTTATAGAAAACCAAAATGCGTACTATCAGCTGATTTGTGTGACCTTGACACATATCTAAATAAATAAATTAATCGTCAGTATAAAGTTTAGTCAATTTAACATTTACCTGAGTCGATGAAATATTTATATCGTGATATAGGCGTTGAAATTCAACTAATGTTTAGGGAGCTAAAGCAACTATTTCGAGTTTTGCCACCATAAAAAAATAATTAGCATCCTTCCCATTGTTAAAAAACAACAAAGTAACCCCTAACAAGGTCCAATAAAGCAATCTAAAGATCTTTACTGAGCCACCAAGATCATCCAAGAAAAAGAACTTTTTATAACAGAAATCCTTTATCGATAGCAGAAACAACCCTATCGAGAATTAATTTTTTAGTTTGTAATTTATAAATCATAAATTGCAGACTTCGATAAAAGAGTCATCTACATTTTTGGAATGCTAATTATAGTCAGGCATTGGAAGATAAGAACGTTGCGTTTAAACGGTCAAAAAAATGGTACTGCTTAAAAATAGGAAGATAAAACTGGTACGGGTTTTATGCATATCATCTTTCATGATTATATTTTTTTAACAGCTTTAAACGCAACGCAAAATATGTATGCTCGGACGGCCTCAAATAATTACATTTAATTAGTTGGTCGGTATCTTTTAATGTCAAGTTTATCGCAACAAGATCCGAATTATTATACATCTAAAAATCAATCCTCCATCATATTGATAATTTATTCAAAGATATAATGCGAAAATAATAGCTTTTGGTGGTAAAGTTTATTTTATTAGGTGTTAGGGGTAGCTTAAGGCAAGCCCTGTCTGTTATAACTAAAGGGGCAAGAACAAATGTAATTGAAACCTAAATTTAAAGTTACAACTAAGCCATAAGTTTAAATGTGCAGGAAAAATGTCTAATCTCTTATCATTTTCCACAAAGTTTTGGATTTATTATATTACAGTATAACTTTTCTGTTTAATTACAAGTAATAATCGTTGTGACATTCCACCAACCATGGCAAATTAATGAATACATTGAAAATCAGGTTGATATTTTAAAGGGGGTATTTTTTTTTTACAATTTATTTACAAATTATTTTAAAGAAATATTTTGTATATCTGTATTGTATTGTTTTAAGATAAAAGTATGACCAAATTAAAATAAAGAGTTTATCTAATCATTCGAAAATCTCAAAATGTTGTTTATAAAACTTTGATCCATGATGTTAATAGTAAAATACTTATATCATTTAAAATGACTAAAATTTGTATCGATTTATTGTTATATTATTTTTATTCTAGAAAATTCAAAAAAACAAGGAATTTCAGCAAATACAAAAATAGTCAGAAACAAACTCCAATTTTATGCTACAATTACAGACTGTTAGATTAAGTTTAATTTATTAACACTATCATCAGTCTTATATGTGACATAAAAAAATATTTTATGCAAATCATAATTATTGTCTCCATATATTGTTAAAACATAGTGATCATATTTTAACTAGTTGATTTGAAAAACAATAGGGCGGCTTGAAGATAAATTGGATTGGGAACTATATTGTGGATTTAATTGCCAATCGTATTCTCAACAAATGAACATACATTTTTCACCCTTAACATAGAAATTTCTAAAACTTTTATGCTCAAAAATCAAGACAATTAATCTTTCTGCGGCAAAAAAAGCAAATTAATATTTTAAAATATGGCTCCTTTATGGGAACCAAACTAAATAATAGTTGACCATGATATTTATTCCGTTTATAATATGATTTTTATATTATATGTTTGATTTTTATCAATTTAATAATTAATCCTTTTTTTATTTGAATTCTCTCATATTGAGCATCTTTCTCGCTCGTTGCTCGATTTTTCTGACATACATATTCATCATTCCTTCGCTATTTTTGCACATCAATCAACAGACCTCTCACAGGTGCTTTTGCTTTATTATTGGCAGCATTTTTTTATTTTTTATACCTATGGCCATTCCCCACGAACGCAGAATCTGCCCATCCTGCATGAAACCAATACATTTAACAAATGATGGGGAATTTTTTGTTCATGGACCAATCTCTAACAGGTGTCCGCATTCAAAACACACGCCTCTTTCTCAGATCACTTACTCGCTTCCCCCCCCCCCGATTATCCCTTAAACGAAGTAATTGGTGCCTCATTCTCAGATATTTTTCTTAACTCCACAAAACCAAGTATCATAACGAGAATACCCAAAGGAGCGAGAATACAAGTAGCTAAATCTCTCAGCAACTGCATATCTTCTCTTTTGCAAAATTTTAACAAAGAAGAAGAATGGTTAAAATTTTTAAACTTTGGGTACAATACTTTCAAAATACCTGACATATCTCTCCAAAAATCATTAACTCAACAAATAAAAGATGCCTGTTTAAACATCAACACTCATCTTCATGAGTCCCAAATCTTCAGACATCCCATAAACAAAAAAAAAATAACCCCACTTCAACAAAAAGCCTCATTGATTTCGAAGAAAATTGACAGTCTTAATATCAATGGGGCCCTCAAACTCATTTCAACCAATGACACTCTGGCGGAATCAAATTTAGAAACCTTAATTAAGCTTCGATCAAAGCATCCCACAACAACATTTATGCCAATATTGCCCCAACCCTTCTCCCATTGTGCAGCAGATTTCACACAGGAAGAAGTAAGGAAAGCAATCCTATCTTTTCATCGGGATTCGGCTCATGGTCTAGATGGGATTAGACCAATTTTTTACAGGACATTACCTCTCCTGTGATCTGTACACAGGTTTCAATTCTCACTAAAATCACAAACTTAGTCAACAAAATCCTAAATGGAGACGTACCCAGCTTTATTACCCCCTTACTATTCGGTGCCAGACTCATCGCACTCCAAAAACCAAACAAGGACATTCGGCCCATCGCCATTGGTTCAACTTACCGTAGATTGGTCGCTAAATTAATCGCATCTAGAATCAAACGATGCCGCACACATTCTAAGCCCCTATCAACTTGGTGTAGGGATACCTGGTGGGTGTGAAGCCGCTGTGCACTTAACAAGAATTCACCTTGAAAATAACCCAAAAAACGAATCCCTAGTAAAAATTGACTTCTCTAACGCCTACAACACTCTTTCGCGCAACACGTTCCTACATTCAACTTACTTCCATTTCCCCGCTTATACCAAATTTCTTTTCTCTTGCTACCAATCACCAACAATCTTACAATTCAACAAAGAAAAGATACTTTCTGTCGAGGGTATCCAACAAGGTGACCCTCTCGGTTCCATTCTCTTTAGTCTTGGAATCAATGACATGATAAAATCAATAAACTCTTCATGTACTCTATCGCTCCACGCTTGGTATATTGATGATGGAATCTTGAGTGGTCCCAGTAGTGAAATTGCCAAAGCAGTCACCATAATTAAAGAAATAAGCACAGCCATTGGACTTTCGCTTAACCAGAGCAAATCTGAATTCTCACTTTTAAATTCTAATGCTCCCAACACTCACGATTTCAAATTCACATCAAGCGTTAAATTAACACATCTAGGATCGCATGTTGGAGGACACGAGGCAATAAGCACCTTTCTTCATTCCACACTTGACATACTCCTTAAACTGGAGGACATCTTTACACTTCTTCCATCACACAAGTCCTTTTTTTGCTAAAAAATTTCTTTTTTATACCAAGGATTCTTTACGCACTTCGGTCAACACCAATTTTTAAATATCCTATTCCTCTCCAAACTTACGAAAAAGGAATAAAGGACTTAACCGAAAAAATAGTAAATATCAGATTCAACGAAACCGCTTGGGCCCAAGCAACTCTTCCAACCAAATTTGGTGGTCTCGGCATCAGATCTCCACTTGACTTAGCAACAACTACTTTCATATAGAGTAGTCTCTTGACAAAGCCAATAACCACCGCCCATAATTCTAAAGAAGACCTTTCCTTAATCGTGGCTAAGGATATTTGGAAAACAAGGATCAATGCTGATTCTCATCCCCCCACAACCCATAAACAGAAAGACTGGGATGCACCAGTGGTTGCTCGCTGCGTTGAAACTCTCTTATCTAGCATGCAATCTACAGACCGCACCCTATTCTCTTCCTTGCTCAATGGTACGGGACATGAGTTTCTTGAGGCCATCCCATCTACCAATCTTCAGCTTCAACTATCCAACAATGAATTTACCCATGCCATCGGCATTCGTCTAAATTGTTCCATCACTCACCCCCACATCTGCTCAGGGTGCAACTCGCCAGTTGACTCGAAGGGTAGACATAGTTTACATTGTCGCTCCTGCAATGGACGATTCATCAGACACAAACAATGTAATACAATCATCCAACATGCTCTGAAATCCGCCCAAATTCCTTCCACGTTAGAACCACAGGGTCTTTTTAGATCTGACGGTAAACGTCCTGATGGGATCTCTCAAATCCCATGGAGGAGAGGCCAACTTTTGGTATAGGACTATTCCTGTATTGACCCCTTGGCCCCATCCAACCACGCCATCAACATCCTTGACCAGAAGGAACAACTTAAAATTTCTAAATACACAGAAATAATAAACGATCATTGCTTTATCCCAATCATATCAACCACTCTTGGCGCCTTCGGCAAACTCGCCTTAGCATTTTTCAAAAACTTAGGATCACAAATCAGCAAACTCTCAGAAGAACCTCGAGAGGGTTTTTTTCTTCGTCAACGATTATCCATAGCGATTCACAAAGCTAATTATATCAGTTTCAATGGTAGCCTTCTAGCCAAAGAGCTATCATAGACAACGCTTACGTTCCTTTTTCATTTTTGTTTCCCTGCGTCACACCATCTCCGTTCTTTTTTTTAGATAATATTATTATATATTTTTCAAACATTTTTAAATATATTAAAATTTATTATAATGAAAATTTAAATTATTAAAAAATAAAAAAATTTTTTATTATGTTTTTAAGGTAAAATTTTTTTATATAGATTTCAGTTATAGTGAATATAATATATAATGTAATAAAAAACTAAATATTTTAAAAATATTTATTAAAAATATTGGATAAGGACATATTTTAAAAAAAACAGATCTGTCTTAATATTTTTTTATGATTATATATGTTAGCGGCAATGTGTTTTTTTCCGGCAATGTGCTATTTTTTCAACTTTAAATCATTTTGAGCGCTTTTTTGAAATACAAAATTTGATTTTATAGGAAATGTGTTCCAACATGTTTAGAAAACCTATCATATAAACTGTAGATAATTTTACCGTTAATTTTTGAGTCATTAGAAAGAAAGATGAAAAAACTAAAATAAATTATATTAAATTCAAAAGTTCATTAGAAATTTATCTAAAATTCACAGGGTAGGTATTCCAAACATGATAAAATATATTCCGGTAAAATCAGACTTTCAAATTTAAAAAAACGCGCTCAAAAAATGATTTAAAGTTGAAAAAATATATATTAATTATATAATATTTTTTATTTTATATATAAATTCATAATAAATTAATAAAAGGAACCATAATTTAATTTTATTTATAATGTTAAAAAAGGGAATTATTTTAAAAGATAATTTTTTATTTTTGTAATATTATCGGTAACAAGAAAAAAATTTAAAAATATCTAAAGAGTCCCATTCAACTGGTGTTGTTAGACCGCTAACTCAATATATTAGCCAAAAGTAAATTACATTTACATAAGCTTAGAGATTTATTCATAGAGGGAAGAAAGATTGGTAAAATTACGAGGTTTAAGTAATAATATTTTGGCTAAAATTTTGATTTAACCGTTTTTAAAAATCAGCTAAATTAAGCCATTTAAAACTCTCAGCCATAATAATTGTTCATATTTTAAATGAGGTGATTAACTCTGGGATAATAAAATAAGCAAAAAAAATGCACTTCATAATTCGTGCAAGTTAACTGGGTTTTTAAAAAAATATAAATATTAAATTTTTATGACATTGGTTAAAATATAGATGTTAAATAAAAATCAATCTAAATATAGGATCGGCATCGGTTATTGGGTCGGTTTTGTAGTAATATCGGCGGTAAAAAATCTGCAGATCAGCACAGCCCTACAATATAATGATATACCTGGCTTTAAGAGATAATGGTAAATTAGCAACGGCTCGACAAAATTGTGGAAGAGCGTCGGTAAAAAGTGAAGAATTTTCAATGCTTTTGTAATCAATGAGGGGTGTATCACTAGAGTCCTAAATTAAATAGGATATTATTAAGTATGACATGTCAATAACAAATACCATTAATTTTTTATTGTTATAGAGTTAATTTAATCTGTTGGTGTCATCTGCAAATTTAAATTATAAACTTTCATAATTGAAATCTCAATAATGTAAGAAAGTTGCTTATGTGAGCACTTACTAATTTGAGCAAGGTATTTCATATTTTATTTTAAAAAATATATTACATTACATCAGAGATCTTCGTGGGCCTTAATTTTTGATCAAGCGCGGCCCAGGCCCATAATAAGTTTCAAAATTTTTTCTCAAGCCCATATCAAAAAATTTAATTTATTGTATTTAAGGTTGTGTCCTAAATATCAAAAATATACAAATAAATAAATTTAACTTTGAAGAAAAAAATAAAAATGATTTTTTCGTCATTTCCAAAAATTCATTATTTTTTAAAAATAATAGAAATTAATAAATTTTGCTTAAAATTTATAAATTTGTGTAATTTTTATGAAAAACTAGTAGGTAATATTAAAGTATTTGGTGGCATTGTTATTTAGTATTTTGTTTTTTAAAGTTCTTCTAATTTAAATTTTTCAAAATTAAAAAAAAAATAATGGAAAAGTTCGGGCATGTTTCATAATTTTAATTTGCGAAAATTTATAAATTTTGAAATATTTTTCATTATATTTAGGATATAGCCCTAATAAAAAAACATTTCTATTTAGGAAATCATTTTGTTTACAATACTGAAATTTGTTATTATTAATAGAAAAAATTGTAATATTTTTAAGTTAGCTATTGTTTTAAAAAAGCTAAATTATAAAAAAAATTTAGGCCCACGCCCATTTAAAAATTTTTTTTGTGCCCAAGCCTATTTAAGAAAATTTTAAACATAGGCCCGGTCCAGACCAGATAGAAAATATAATACTAGGCCCATACCTGGTTTATGGAGGCCTCTGCATTACATAAATATTTAAAATTACCTTTTTTGAGAGATAGTTTTTTATACTTACTTTTTAACAAGACTCTATAAATTAATAAATAACCTCGAAATTAGTTACTGCATCTTGTCCCAAGATAATTGGCAAGAGAGCAAAAACAAGTACAAAAACATTACCACATCCGACAGAAAATTCGCCATAACCACGCCAATCATTTTTTCGAACCAGTTGCCCACCTATATCGTCTTGCCTATGAACTGACCAATCTGACTTTGATAAGAAATTATCGGCATTACTTTCAAATTGGAGTGCAAAGGACAAAGCATTTAAGGCACCACTTAATGAAGTAAGTACGCTTTTAGGGAAATTAAAATTGCGTCTAGCCACAGGGGAGAAGAGAAGAGATAGGCAAGGCCATACTTCGTTGTCTAGATCCAAGATCAAGGAACGGATCAGCAAAGGGTCATCACGGCGCAAAATGGCTGACATTTCTTTGTAATAACCATCTCGATTGTTCTGGACTTTAATTTGATTGATTTGGGAGTTATATTCTGATAATAATTGATTATAGTTATCGATTATGGGTGATTGGTTAATACTAATTTCGTTAATTTCATGGTGGGTTGTTGGAGAGTTATTATTTTTTTGTGTAGAAAGTGTTATGTTATCGATCAAGGGTAATTGGAAATTATCCAATTTATTATTTGGTATATTCGAGTCAGGGGTTAATAGGCTACTGTTAATATTATTAGGATTGAATTTTTCTGTTGGTAGAGAATCGTAATTAGTATCAATAGAAGGGTTGTCTATAATTATGTAAATATAATTATATTAATTTTTGTCACTTTCATCTAAATCATATACTTATTCGTTGATTCACTTAAATATATATAAATTAAACATTCAATTAGGGATATAAAAAAAAATGTTGATTTTCTTATGTTTTTTAAATTACTACTACAATTCTTTTATGGAAAATATAATCTTCCTGCAATATACAATCATCTTAAATAAAATCTTGTCTAGGAAGTTTTCAATTATCACGATCAATTAAAAGTAATGGTTTATTTTATTAGATTAAGTGTAAATTTTTTATAAGAAAATTATTTTTAAATTTAATTTTTGAAAAAATTCCGTTTATTTTTCAAGTGTGTTTTTTTTCTTTAAATTTTAGAAAAATGTTATTTTTGATTTCATATTTTTATTACTACAGTCTTATCACAATTTGAGGTGAATAGGGTGTGAAAATTGAAAAGGCTTTTTATAGCCATAGCTCGTTGCTCGCCTTGGCTCGTGATATAATTTTGTACAAGTCGAGTCTGGCCCCTTAAAAATTTTATGAAGGAAAAGGGCATAAATTTACCTAATTCCAAGCTTTAAAAAAAATTTGTGAAACATTAGCCTGGTATATAAAAACATTTTGATCATTGCGCCAAGCTTTTGAGCTTCAGGCCAAGCTCTAATCACTGTAGTTGGGAAATGATTTTTGGCCAGTTTGACCAATTTTTAGCTAAAAACTTTTTTAAATATAGTTAAATTTTGAAAAGAGGTGTAAATTATAGGGCTGCGCTGATCCAAACAATTTCACTGATCCGATCAAATATTTCCCGATATTCCAAACAGCCCTAATATTTAAATTGATGTTTACAATCTATATTTGAAAAATTTCATAAAAAAAGAAATATTTTTTGAAAAAAATAGATTGAAAACTGTGGTAGTTCTATAATGTTTCATCAATTAATATTATTTAAACAATGCCAATCAAATTAAGCTAGTTTTTGATTAGTGAAAACTAGGGATGTACCAATATTTTTATCGGATCGGGCCGATATTTCATCTTTTTAAAATAGCGGTTATAGGCCAATATTATAAAATTATCTGATCTGATAAAATGGCGTCTTAATTTTTTAAAAATTTATTTCAAATTTCATAATATATTTTTTATTACTTATTATGTAAATTGCTTAATGTTATTATATAAATAAGTAATTTATCAAGAAGAATATTTTATATATAGATTCATTAATATAAACTATAACTGATCATTAGAATATATCTAAATGACTTGTGTTATGGTATAGTTAAATTATAGATATTAAGTATATGAGTAGAGTACATGTATGCATTAAAAATTAAAACGATTTGTATGTTTAGAATACAAAATCAGATATAATAACGGATCTAATCGGCTGATATCTAATATTGGTAATATCGGATCCTCCAAAAAGTGGTACCGGTACACCCCTAGTGAAAATAATCATTTACCAATTTATTTCAAATCTGCAATATTCTAAGGTCATTCCATGTCAAATTAATCAACCAAAGCCCTAGAGATTTGGGTTTAATTTTCCAAGGCTATTTCAATTTTTCATTTCAGTTCTTATATTTTTAAAGATATCATGGGCCTATGAAAAATAACCTATTATTGGTAAATAACTTCTTCAATTAAAGATTTACTAAAAACTAAAATAATAAATAATAATTCTAATATCAAAATTAAGTGTATAAATTCTATTTCTCAGTAATCTCTATATACTTAATTATAAATGCTTCAATTTTTATGTGGTCCCATTCAAAAGTTTATAATTTTTAAATAATGAGTTCCTCCGATTTTAATAAAATTGTAGACAAATGTCAATAAGAACCTATATTTTTTTCAAATATTGGAATGCCAAAGTTTGCTGAAAAATCGATAAAAACACAAAAAAAAAGGAATAATTTTTTCATTCAACAGATATATATACATATATAAAATTAATTAAATATTAATTGTTCGAATGTGTTTAAAATGTAGTTAATAAATTTTTATAATAGTAACGAATCTACAACACATAATTGTGTATTTTACAAAAATTTGAAAAAAATTCTTTATATTATTTTTTTTTAAAATTATTTTGCTAATAAAATTTAAATATTGTATAAATCTGTTGTAAATTCTTTATCATAGTAAGAATATCATAAGAAAATTAAAACATTAGAACAATTAATATAATTTACATATTATGCTAAAAATATGCTTTCTATTTTAGTACTAGTGCGCAGTGTTGTTAAAAAGTCGAGTTCTGACGACTTGGGTCGTAGTCGTAAAAACGGCTCCGACTCAAGCCGATCAAGGAGCCGAATAAGCCGACCCACTTAGTCGGCTCGTGTATTCGACTCGTTGGGTCTGCTCAATTTTTTTGTTTTTTTTATATAAAATCTGGTAAATTGCTAAATTTTGGGAAAATGATTAATGTGAACAAAATTATAATAAGAATATGTTGTTTTAGTTTTTCGTATTTTTTTGGCATAAATGGATTAAAATAAGTATTGCTAACATGTTTAAATAAAATTTTAGTGAAGATGTACCATAGATAAGTGACAATTGTCATAATCGTTGTTTTTAAAGTTTTTCGAATTTTTTTGACGTAAATGGGCTAAAATAAGCATTGCTAACATGTTTAAATAAAATTTTAGTGAAAATGTACTTTAGATAAGTGACAATTGTCATAATCGTTGTTTTTAAAGTTTTTAGAATTTTTTTGACGTAAATGGGCTAAAATAAGCATTGCTAACATGTTTAAATAAAATTTTAGTGAAAATGTACTTTAGATAAGTGACAATTGTCATAATCGTTGTTTTTAAAGTTTTTCGAATTTTTTTGACGTAAATGGGCTAAAATAAGCATTGCTAACATGTTTAAATAAAATTTTAGTGAAGATGTACCCTAGATAAGTGACAATTGTCATAATCGTTGTTTTTAAAGTTTTTCGAATTTTTTTGACGTAAATGGGCTAAAATAAGCATTGCTAACATGTTTAAATAAAATTTTAGTGAAAATGTACTTTAGATAAGTGACAATTGTCATAATCGTTGTTTTTAAAGTTTTTAGAATTTTTTTGACGTAAATGGGCTAAAATAAGCATTGCTAACATGTTTAAATAAAATTTTAGTGAAAATGTACTTTAGATAAGTGACAATTGTCATAATCGTTGTTTTTAAAGTTTTTCGAATTTTTTTGACGTAAATGGGCTAAAATAAGCATTGCTAACATGTTTAAATAAAATTTTAGTGAAGATGTACCCTAGATAAGTGACAATTGTCATAATCGTTGTTTTTAAAGTTTTTCGAATTTTTTTGACGTAAATGGGCTAAAATAAGCATTGCTAACATGTTTAAATAAAATTTTAGTGAAGATGTACCCTAGATAAGTGACAATTGTCATAATCGTTGTTTTTAAAGTTTTTCGAATTTTTTTGACGTAAATGGGCTAAAATAAGCATTGCTAACATGTTTAAATAAAATTTTAGTGAAGATGTACAGTAGAAAAGTGACAATTGTCATAATCGTTGTTTTTTAAGTTTTTCGAATTTTCATGACGTAAATGGGCTAAAATAAGCATTGCTAACATGTTTAAATAAAATTTTAGTGAAGATGTACCCTAGACACCGGGTTTCCCATTCAAAATAAGAAAATCATAATATTTTTTTAATTTTTTGTCAATTTTTCTTAAACTTTTATTTATTTTAGTTATTCCTTTTTAATTTATTTCTAAATTTTTGCGATTTCTTTACGTTTTTTTTCTTACTGTATCTTTTCTCAATTTATTTCTAACCTTTTGCGATTTTCTTTACTTTTATTTTTCTTACTATACCTTCTCTCAATTTATAAATTTAGGTCCATTTTTTAAGGTCATTTTTAATCTTTATTTTTTTGAGCATTTATCTATTTTTTCTTCTCATTTTTGATAATTATTTTTTAAAATTATATTTAAAGTTTTTGGCAGACAATATAATTACGATTGCTAAATTAATTATATATTAATCGTTTGGTTTACCTTAACTGTAATACCAAACGATATTTAAATTAATAAAAAATAATTATTTTTAAATTCTTATTTTTAAAACGCATTAGAAAATTTTTATTATTTATAACAATAGGGAAGACAGACTAAATAAAATTAATTTTTTTTAAGTATATTTCCATGGATTTTAATTCGATTTATTTATATTCAGTTGTACAATCATCACAGTCCCAACAAGAAATTGTATAAATCATAAAAAGAATATTATATCTGTATGTATGATGAAAAAAAAAGTAAATTGTTAAAAAAATGGACCTAAATTTATAAATTGAAGAAAAATAAATTGAGAGAAGATATAGTAAGAAAAATAAAAGTAAAGAAAATCGCAAAAGGTTAGAAATAAATTGAGAAAAGATACAGTAAGAAAAAAAACGTAAAGAAATCGAAAAAATTTAGAAATAAATTAAAAAGGAATAACTAAAATAAATAAAAGTTTAAGAAAAATTGACAAAAAATTGACAAAAAATTTAAAAAAATTATGATTTTTTTTTGAATGGGAAACCCTGTATCTAGAGTAAATTTTCAATAAAATTTTATTTAAACATGTTAGCAATGCTTATTTTAGCCCATTTACGTCAAAAAAATTCGAATAACTTTAAAAACAACGATTATGACAATTGTCATCTATGGTACATCTTCACTAAAATTTTACTTAAACATGTTAGCAATGCTTATTTTATCCCATATACGTCAAAAAAATTCGAAAAACTTTAAAAACAACGATTATGACAATTGTCACTTATCTATGGTACATCTTCACTAAAATTTTATTTAAACATGTTAGCAATACTTATTATAACCCATTTATGCCAAAAAAATACGAAAAACTAAAACAACATATTCTTATTATAATTTTGTTCCATTAATCATTTTCCCATTTAGCAATTTACCAGATTTTATAAAAAAAATTAAAAAAATTGAGCAGACCCAACGAGTCGAATACACAAGCCGACTAAGTGAGCCGACCAATGCGGCTCATTTAGTTGACTCGAGTCAAAGTCGTTTTATCGACTAGAAACTAGGCTCGAGTCGCAGCTAAGTCGACTCGGCTTAGCCGTTTAACAACACTTGCGCACAAATTGAACGTTTAAAAGCAGCTTTTCAAAATGCATTTGTTTAAATTGGAGAGAATTTTTTTTTGTTTTAAATTTAGACGTTTCATATTTTAAAAAAATTTAAAGCTCCCATTTAAATAGTTGCTTTTACGTTTATTTATTTGCGCTTACGTTTTTTATTTGCGTTTTGAAACGCTGCTTTGTGCCCACTATTAACGATTTTCTCCATGAAAGTGAAAACTTGGCATTTCAATTTTTACGTGATATATTATATATATAACAGAGTTATATACAAAAAGCAACGTTTGGTTCTCTAAGAAAGCCCATTAAACTAGGATAAAAAAGACGGAAAATAATTAAGAGAAGGACCTTCCATGTTTTTTGGGCAGATCCCGGTTACCTGTGTGAGCAAGAGTCAAAGCTACTTAATTAAAGGCCCATGGGAAGGAGAGGTAAAATCCCATACCTGATCAAATAGAAATTTGATTATGGAAGGGTTATGTTGGCTAAGTTAATTTTACTTTTATTTAGCCTTGTGAGAACTAGTGTTGTTAAACGGCTCGTTTTGAGCCGATTTTTAAAAACGGCTAACTCAATATTACATCCAGAAATATATTACGCAAACCTGAAGATTTTGATCATAGAAGGAACGAAGGTCTAGACATATATTATCGAAATCTCGAGGCTTAGGCAATATCTTTCTGACTATAATATTGAGTTAGCCGTTTTAAAAAATCGGTTCAAAACGAGCAGTTTAACAACATTAGTGAGAACCTATAAATAAACATAAGATTAGAGAAACTAATTCAATAAAGCTTGTTTTTATATCTTACAGAAAATATATTATTTATATTGCAGAGGAACTTGTAAGGTAAACATAATAATTATCATTTCAAATTTTTTTATATACAAATAGATTGGTTTTAGTAACATGAAGATTTTATGATAATCATAAATACATTATTTTTTATAAAGATTTTAAACTTCAGGATGGGGTTAAATTACAGCTAAATTTTAAAAAAATAAAATTTAATAATTCTGTAGTTTTTATACAAATCTATAATTGAATCAAAATTAAAAATTTGAAAGTAATTTTTCATACTCTAACAATTGATATCACCAAAAATATGAGCTAGTATTCTAAAATTTGAATATTATTTTAGTTTGAAGTACCTTGATTTGATAAACAAAATTTTACTTAAATTACCAAAAAGGTCCCATAAAAATTATGTTTTTTGTTAGTTTTGATATAAATTGACCTTAACAAAAAATAATGTTAATCATAAATTGGATAAATTTTTTTAAAAGCAAAAATTAACAATCTCCAATCTGATCCAATATTTAATATGAGCACAGCCTTATTAAATTAACTCGTACTTTAGTGCCATTCAGATTTTCTTTGACATATATCTGTAGATTGACCCAAATGAGCCCATTTTTGCTATGACCCATCTATTTAAATAAGCCCAGCCAATGTGGATAAGATACCCAGTTATAAATTTGTAAGCTTTTATAAAAACGTTTTAATTTTATGCTATTACAAAGTATCTCCAAATACTTTCACTACCTTCTCTTTTCAGAAAAATTATTACTTTATGACAACTTTTAATTATTAAAATTTTTGATATAAGACATTTAAAAGCAATACATAGCAAAATTATTTTTTATAAATAAAATAAGATTTGTAGGGGAAATCCACCTATCAACTTCAATGAAATTCCTGGCTATAGTGATATATATTTTTTTCTGGCATTTTATAGCCAAACTAAAATTGATATAATATTTTTTTTATAAATAATTTTAAAATTTTTTAGATAAAATGGCTCACGTGATTTAATTAAAAATTAAAATTTTATATAAGGTACCTTCATATTTATAGGATGATGTTGGTTTAAATATGTCATCAGATTCTAATGTTGATTTTTTAAAAATATCGAATGTTTCGTCTGAGAGATTTGATGAAGTTAATAAATGAGATTTTATGGATTTGGACAACTCCTCATAATTAACACTAAAATCTTTTAAAAAGCTTTGTGATAAATTTTTGGAAGAACTGAAAACTCGAATAATGATCACAATCAACTCGTTAAAATTTCCTAAAGCTACACATCGTTTTAGAATGCATTGAAGGACCTTCAGATTTAACGTTTTAATATCTAAAAGGAATAATGGAGTGTATAATTTATTTTAAATATATGAATACTTTTATAGTCCACTTCTTCTGCATCTTTTTGCTCGTCTAATATTGGTGTTAAGTACATAATTAATGATATTTTAAAATTAAATTTCCTTTAAAAATGTAAATTGAAATTCATGTCAATTAAAATAAATAACAGCTGACTACACAATCTTTCCACGAAAATTATTATATATGGAAATATTGATAAATTAAAATTAATTTATATTAGGTCATTAGATAGCATTTATAAGTTATATTTAGCTTCGTTCATATACATACTCAACTTTTTAATATATTTAATTTGAACTATTGGTATATTCAACATAACTTACACATTCAAATGTAGTGAGATGAGAACCTTTATATCATGATTTATATCATTTTTATTTATCATTATTCAAATTTTGTATATATTATGAATTCGATATTTTAAAAAGAGAGATAAAAATTTTTTGATACTTTTATTATTAATAAAATTTATTAACCAACTCCCTGCCTATCAATGTCTATATTTCATTTATCAAAAAAACTTAAATTCTAAATGTAATATATATTAGAATGAAAAATATCAAAAACATTATATTTTTTTTGGATGAGATACAATAACAAATTTCACAAATATTTCATTTATGAATTATAATTAAAAAAAAATATATATAAAAACTAATAATATATTAAAAATGAATTTAAAAATATGTATGTATAAAAGAGAAATGAGATAAAAAAAATAAAAAAATTTTTAAAAAAAAGGGAACAAATCACCCTAAAGAAGATTGAATGCTTAAAAAATTGGGGAAATCTGCTGGCGAAGGAATAAATAAAAAATAACATTATATTGTGTGTATATAAAAAATAATTTCTAGATTATTTTAATGACTAAATAAATTCTCTCATACCCGCATATTATTCCGATTTTCCATGTGAAATATAGACATTAAAAAATAAAATTGCTTTAGAAAAAATCATCTGATTTTAGCAAAACGAATTAAAACATGAGTATACGTAAACACATTATTGAAATTATTTTTCCTAAAATTATAAAATTATATTTTTGTAGAAAATTCTAAAATTAATATCGGCGCATGGAATCGGAATCTTTCTCGCATCTTTACATTTATATATTTAAAAAATATATCATATTTATATTAAATAAACAAATTCAATATAGACCATAAACTTAAAATTTACCAATACCCCTCCCTATAATTTACATTTTACTTAATCGGGTACGGGCTTTTCTCTCTCTTCTTATTTCCCGTAGGCGTTTAAGCAAGTGGTTTCGCCTCTTGCGCGCACAGATAACTGCAGCCTGCCCAAAAACTGTGGATGGGCTCATCTCATAGGTTACCCCCAAATTTCTTAACCCAATTAGATGGGATGAGATAGTCCAAGCGTAGCTCTGCTGTTTCATATAGCGATAAAGGGTAATTGCGCTTATTATGACGTAAAATTGCTTTAAAATTTTATCATTATTATATTCTGCTAAGAAGAGCTGATGTTATTTTATATTATAATTTTCGTTCTATTCTATCTTAATTATGATACGCTTCCTTTATTATCTTTAATAAAAATTATTCCGTTTTCCTTATATTATTTTATGTTTGAACTCTTATCTATGCATGCGCTTACTCAGGAATTTGGTATGGGGGGAGGGGGGGGGGGATAATAAAATTTTTTAAGATTTAATATTGTTATTTAAAAATATTAACCATAAATTTATTAGGACTAATAACTACTTCTAATACACAATTTTAAATTAATGTGAATTATAAAAAAATTATATATATAAACCGGCATATAAAAAACTATAAAATAAACGTGAATTAAAAAATATTAAACGGATATAACTGATGACATTGAAAAACTATAAAATAAAAATAAATTTAACCACCATATGAATCACTTAAATGACCTAAAAAATAAATTTGAATTTTTTGAGCCTTTAAAATTTATATATAAAGTATAAAAAATTTAAATTTTGGAAATATAAATTAATACACAAAATGTTTCTTAGGAATAATTGTATTTTGTATGTTATATATATATACAATGTAAAATCCAATCTCATCTTTGGGGCGTTAAATGCCTATGAATATTCAAAAGATCCAAACCATTCAATCTACTTTAAGAAGTTGTACTTCTTAGGTATGTTTTTCAGAGTGCAGGCCCGACCCCCGGGCTGGACCATATTTTAATTTTTTAGAAATTTTTTTAAAAAAAACACACGGGCTGAGCCTGAAATTTTTTTTAAAAAAACACACGGGCTGGGCCTGAAATTTTTTTTTAAAAAAATATCGGGCCCGGGTTGTATATTATAAAACCAAATATTTGAAATCGCCATTATTAGCTATAAAAGTAAAAAATAAATATAATTTATTTTAAAATAATTCGGGCCGCGCCTGAAAATTTATTTTAAAAAAAACTCGGGCCTGGTAGAAATATAATTTTGAAAAAAAAATGCGAGCCGTGCCCTGCAAATGGTACCTCTGCAGGACTCTGTTATTCCTCTTAAAAAATAGAATGTTCTCTCATTAGTTTACAAATGGGAAGAGTTGCTACTATATATTTGTGATGTTAAGGTAAAAATTGTAACTAGTAACTGTAACTAGTTATAATTTTTAAAATGTAATTGCCAAAAGTAACTAGTTACTTTTAAAGATATATTCAAATAATTAATTTTATTTTTAATATGTTGTGATAAATTAATTTTAAATTATTTTTTAAATTAAATTTATTAATTTAAAATTTTGTGAAAATGTCTGATTGTTATAATATCCCGTTCAAATTGATTTTCTTTTCTTAAATTATTACATTGCTGCTGGGCTTCATAATTTTGTAAGCAAATTTAAGTATTTTAATAAATTTTAATATTATATTTATTTACAAATGTGCAAAATATATTTTTTTCCATCAAGTAACAAGCATTGGAACTTCATATCATACGTAATAAAAAAAATTTTAAATTTAGTATAAGGAAGAACAAAGACAGATTATTTTAGAATTTAATATTAAATTATTAATCATTACTTACAAGAACCAAGTCTAACAAAAGCATAAGCACATTACTCAAATTTTAAAAAATGATTGCTTTCTGAAATTTATTTTTTGGTCTAGACTGAATTTTTATTTATAATCAAATTATATATAAATTAGACACATTTTAGAACTGTATGTTTCATAATTGATTATTCTATTCCTAATTTAGATAGTGTTATTTATATTTATCTCCTAGATAGAAACAGAATACAATATGAATTCGGAGTCAGATGATGAAGAAATTATACCTTCTCCTTCTACAATAATTGCAAAAAAAAAGGACCTTCCTTGGCCAAGTTTTGAAAAATATTTTGAATCCCTCAAAGAGAAGCTGGTAGTAATACTAATTAGTGTTGTTAAAAAGTCGAGTTCTTACGACTTAAACGGCTCCGACTCAAGCCGATCAAGGAGCCGACTCACTTAGTCGGCTCGTGTAGTCGGTTCGTTGGGTTTGCTCAATTTTTTTGTTTTTTTATAAAATCTGGTAAATTGCTAAATTTTGGGAAAATGATTAATGTGAACAAAATTATAATAAGAATATGTTGTTTTAGTTTTTCGTATTTTTTGGCATAAATGGGTTAAAATAAGTATTGCTAAGGCTAACATGTTTAAATAAAATTTTAGTGAAGATGTATCATATAAAAGTGACAATTGTCATAATCGTTGTTTTTAAAGTTTTTCGAATTTTTTTGACGTAAATGGGCTAAAATAAGCATTGCTAACATGTTTAAATAAAATTTAAGTGAAGATGTACCCTAGATAAGTGACAATTGTCATAATCGTTGTTTTTAAAGTTTTTCGAATTTTTTTGACGTAAATGGGCTAAAATAAGCATTGCTAACATGTTTAAATAAAATTTAAGTGAAGATGTACCATAGATAAGTGACATATGTCATAATCGTTGTTTTTAAAGTTTTTTTAATTTTTTTGACGTAAATGGACTAAAATAAGCATTGCTAACATGTTTAAATAAAATTTAAGTGAAGATGACCCTAGATAACTAACAATTGTCATAATCATTGTTTTTAAAGTTTTTCGAATTTTTTTGACGTAAATGTGCTAAAATAAGCATTGCTAACATGTTTAAATAAAATTAAAGTGAAGATGTACCCTAGATAAGTGACAATTGCCATAATCGTTGTTTTTAAAGTTTTTCTAATTTTTTTGACGTAAATGAGCTAAAATAAACATTGCTAACATGTTTAAATAAAATTTTAGTAAAGATGTACCACAGATAAGTGACAATTGTCATAATCGTTGTTTTTAAAGTTTTTCGATTTTTTTTGACGTAAATAGACTAAAATAAGCATTGCTAACATGTTTAAATAAAATTTAAGTGAAGATGACCCTAGATAAGTGACAATTGTCATAATCATTGTAAGTTTTTCGAATTTTTTTGACGTAAATGGGCTAAAATAAGCATTGCTAACATGTTTAAATAATATTTAAGTGAAGATGACCCTAGATAAGTGACAATTGTCATAATCGTTGATTTTATAGTTTTTCGAATTTTTTTGACGTAAATGGGCTAAAATAAGCATTGCTAACATGTTTAAATAAAATTTAAGTGAAGATGTACCATAGATAAGTGACAATTGTCATAATCGTTGTTTTTAAAGTTTTTCGAATTTTTTTGACGTAAATGGGCTAAAATAAGCATTGCTAACATGTTTAAATAAAATTTAAGTGAAGATGTACCCTAGATAAGTGACAATTGTCATAATCGTTGTTTTTAAAGTTTTTCGAATTTTTTTGACGTAAATGGGCTAAGATAAGCATTGCTAACATGTTTAAATAAAATTTAAGTGAAGATGTACCCTAGATAAGTGACAATTGTCATAATCGTTGTTTTTAAAGTTTTTCGAATTTTTTTGACGTAAATGGGCTAAGATAAGCATTGCTAACATGTTTAAATAAAATTTAAGTGAAGATGTACGCTAGATAAGTGCCAATTGTCATAATCGTTGTTTTTAACGTTTTTCAAATTTTTTTGACGTAAATGGGCTAAAATAAGCATTGCTAACATGTTTAAATAAAATTTAAGTGAAGATGTACCCTAGATAAGTGACAATTGTCATAATCGTTGTTTTTTAAAGTTTTTCTAATTTTTTTGACCTAAATGGTCTAAA